CACCGCCGTGGGGAACGGGCGCTTCCAGGCAGGAGGACGCACGGCGCGGTTCTGAGGGGAAAAACAACTAAAATCACCGCGGGGTGCTCTTTCTCAGCGACACACTGTCTCCTGGACTTAATAAACCTGTATTTTATTCTCCAGAAATGATGTAGATTATTCACTACGTTTAGCTTTTGTTCCTTAGGAGGTAAAATTCCGAGAGCGAGTTTCTCTGTCTGTATCTGTCTCTAACTGCCCCAGCAGCCTGTAAGAGTAATAATAACTTGCAAGTATATATTTAATTTTTTTTTTTAAAAAAACCACTTCGATATGGTAAGATTTATATATTTTTTTCTTTTATCTGTAAAGGTCTTTTCAGGAAAGGCAGACACAACTATGGAAACAAACCAATGAAGGAACCAGTCAGAAAGTGTTTGCAGTATTTCCACAAACCCCCAAAATTTCAAGATTAAATTAAACTCGGGTAGTCCCACTAATGCTTTTCAGAAACACACAGAGACAAAAAATGGACTTTTGAGATGATCTATCATCATCAAACATTGACATTTTTAATGACAAGATTGTTGCAAATTCATTTATATTTTTCTTTGTATGTATATTCTGATTACCTGTTGATCACAATTGTGTCACTATTCTGTCATCAGATTAAAACTTACCTGCTTTTCTTTCTTTTTCTGCTTTTGCTTTAAAAAAGCAGCATCAAAGGCCTGGTCTGAAGCCAGACTGCAACAACAGGAACTTGCCCATTACACAGACTCCAGTCAAATTCTCCATTGGTTAGCAATTTTACTTCAAAAGTTTCTTTCTGTGGGGAAAAAAAAAGAAACTTTTTTTCTGAAAGTTTCACCGGGGAAGACTTCTCAGCTTCCAGATGGAATTTCTAGTAAGAACGAGTGAGATAATCACACTGAAATAGCCTCACTTGAGATGTGGGAGTTTTAGATTTGTGCTCCTGCTTTGCCTGTTCCAGGCCCTCCCACATCTTGCAGGAATAGATGAAGGATTGGAATACAAAACCGGTACCTGTTTTTCTAGATGAGTTAAAATATTTATCAACCCAAATGCTTCAAAAGAAAAGAGATTGATAGAAAGCCTCTCTGGTTCCTTTCCCTCTACAAAATGTTTTCTGTTTCACAGTAGCTGTTTCCCAAGTGTGTTATCCTGTGAAGGATTCGGTAATGTTCTATTCTAAGAGAAAAAGATGTTTGAAAATGAAGTTAAGTGAACCCTATGATAGGGAACATAAACATTTGGTTAAACTAACAAAAAGCACAATTACCTGCTGGTCTAAATATTTAATTTCAAGGAGTTGTGCAAAAGCAGTACTAGCGTTACCATTGTTACCTAAAAATAAGATCCTACGCAACAATCAACTCCATAACCCATGGAGCCATACAATGAAACAGCTTTAATTAACCAGAAAGAAAATCATGCTGGGGACATCTCTATATAATTAGCTGTATTGGATTTATAGTCCCTGCACAGCAATAGAGCCACCCTGAGGAAGAACCTAGATTCTTGAGCTGATGGCTCTTTTACCCATCCATGGGCAACACCACCTGTGAATCTGTGCGCAGTATCCTCGCACACTTCCCATCTTTCTCTCCCGTTCCCTACAGTCCTCTGTTGTATTCCTGCGCGCACTTGCTACTCCTAAGCCCACAGCAATTCAACGCTTGCTCTCTATCTCCAGATGCTTGCCCAAAGTTTGTACACAACTTTCTAGCTTTCTTGCTGAGGTCTTGCCCTCCCAGCAAGAGTGCAGGCTCATACACTGGAAAGCTGTTAAACTTCAAACTACTGGCAAGACAAATGCCAGTAAGTAAACAAGACTACAGAGGGAGTATGGCCTTGGCTGTCATAATAAAGAAGCGGAGTGTCACAGGCTGTTACAAAGGGCTGTGTTCAACAGAGGTTCATTTTGATGACATATGACTTGGTTCTTGACTTCACAAAACCTGGTCATAATTATTCAGTAAAAACCAAACCAGCAAGCCTTGGTGCACTGGTTTAGGGTGTTAAGTCCCCCCAACTTACTGCTCCTCCGCAGGGCTAGAAGTTTCAGTCCCCATAGGAGGGGCAGGAGAACAGAGCATGAGCCTGTTTTTCAATCTCCCAATGCAAAGCCCAGCATTTCAAGACAGTTTTACAAGCAGTTGTTCTGGTGGCTCCTACCTGGCTAGTGGTTCATGCCTGTATGCCCTGGCTCACTTGTGCTGGTACCTGTGATGAAAGTGGTAAAACACAAATGAGTTAAATCACCCACAGAACAAAAACAGTAAGCGTGGCTGAACTGGAACACAGCTGGAGCGTTTCCCTAGGCAGCAAGGCTGGCTTAACAGGTTCCCAGCCTTGACTGCTCATCCCGACTCCCACTCTGTTCTGTTTGCTGCCCCCTCAGTTGTCACATGGATGTCTACGCAAGTTGTGATCATGGGAGCAGTCTCAGTTACACATAACAAATATATCCCACCCCCCTCCAATATGTATTTTTTGATTCTGGCCCATTTCAGGGACCCAGTTCATCGTCTGGCCCCAAAACAATTGTGCTGATAATCCAGCTGGGGGAATTACAGGGTGGGCGAAAGATCTGGGGGTGGCACCTCTTTAGCCACCTGAGGAAGAATAACTTGAGATTACATGCTCAGGACAACAGCCACATTGTAAAGTGGCAAGGGAGCTCAAAGCACGATACTGTTATTTTTGGACACCATTATGGAGAACAACAATAAGCAATCTTCACCCAAGGCCAGTTTACCGCACGACTCCCCTCCTGCAGGGCCTGTTCCAAGAAGGTGCTTGCTCCATGTTCTGCAGCGCTGTCCCGATGCGTGCCAGAGTCTGCTATCAGCCTTCGACCAGGCAGGGCGTGCCCTTCTCCAAAATCTAGCCTTTCTATACAACTCTCTGGTCTTGATAGCTCCCTTCAAACAGGTCAAAAAACAGGACATGTACTTTCCCTCAGGCAAGCGTGTTCTTCCAGAAACGTTTATGACTTAGGGTACTGACTGACGCAGTAACAAAATTTGGCCACGGGTAATAACTGGCCCTGCGTATGTGTAGGCTGGACATTAGAAGACCATTTCTAGTAATCAGACCGGTGAGGAGGGGGAATAACATCTCAACAGAATTAATAAAGGCAAAAATCTAATTGCTTTTTAAGTTAGAGCATGGTTATGAAAGGAATTATACGACAGCAGGGCCTCTTGAGGTTTGTTTCTCCCTACATCCTCTAAGGAATGTTCAGAAAGGCGCACGTGACTTCCCCCAGCACCACGCTGCCCTAATGGGAGTTACTGGAAACGGTGCAAAGCACTGTGCCTGTGACAGGGAAAGAAAGAAACAAAAGCTACACAACGCAAACTTGTGACTTTTTAAAATCTGAAGCCAGAGCACGGAACGACACAGTTTAGGCTTTCAGTGTACGTGAAAACAGCTGCTTGTCTATCAACAGACCGAATTTGGATTTTACGGCTTTTACAGTTGTAAGTCTCTACCTCGCTTGACGTTTATCCACCCAAGACAAACGCACCTAGGCACAGAACCGCCTGTCGGGCTAC